GAGGGCCAAGGCCATAATTATTAATTTTATTTAATTTTATTTTGATATCGATCCTATTGGTCGATACGTTCTAATTATACCAAAAATGATATATCTAAACATGATTTTTCATACTAAATTTGGTATGAGGTAATACTTATTGTTTTCATGGATTTTAGCTTGTTTTGATAAATTTTAATGGATTGACTTGTTTTGGTTGGTACGTTAATATGAAATATGTTTTGTAATTTTAAATTTATCTTTGGTTATTTAATTATTTTTAACTTAACAAAAATAAATTTAATTGATAAAATAATCCTTAAAAGTTGAATTTTTTTTTTTGTAATTTGTTTTCTTCTATACTTTATTTTTTCAAACTAATAATGCTTCTTTTCTAAAGTTTAAAAATCATGAAATCAAGATTAATTTTTTTCATTTTTATGTTTTTATCTTAATATTTGCATAAAAAATACTTATTTAAATATCATATAATCAGATTAAATATTTTAAAATATCATAAAAATTTTATAATATTATTTTTTATAATTTTAAATTTATTTATTTAACTTTTGAAGATATTATATATTTATTTTATAATTTATTAATAGAATTATAATATACAAATTTATATATATTTATAAATATATATACTAAACTTAAAAATATAAAATAATATATTTAAAAAACTGATACCAACATATATCATATTTTTAAAAAAACTCAAAATATTGTTTAATTAAATATTAACAACTTTAGCCAAAACCCCTCCAACTACAATGAGGAACCACCACTGAAGACTTGATAAAAATTTCCAACCATTCAAACGAAGCATAAATCTTGGCGCACTCCATTTTTTTAATGTCCACTAAAATTAATGGCAGGCTTTGCCATTAAGAAATGATGAACTGTCCTATGGTTTACACCAGCTTTTGCCAATTAATAATTGCTAAAGCTTGAAAGTTTTCTGTCGACATTTGCCTTTTTTTTATAATTTTTCACGACTACAACACCTGCTGTTCACTGGTAACATTATCCAAGTTTTTTAATCAATTAAATTTAATGTACTTTAGTTAGAAAGTAATATGGTTACTGCAACATTCCTGGTTCAGTTAATTGGGGGAATAAAACAAGGAAATTTGTTGTTTCCATGGTCAAATCCATCACTCAAATCAGAAGAGCAGGAACTTGTTTTGACTGCATCCCGCAGCTTTCAAAGTATAGTAAACCCATTCTGCAGGACAGATAAATAAATCGGTCCATGGTTGCGGCTGGCCGGCTGGGTCCTGGCGTGTTCATGAGCCATGAGTGATCCACCACTCACAGCCATTCACCAGTAACCACCAAAACCACGATTGATTGAGCTCCTTGCTTTTTCTGAGAAAAAGAAAGACAAAAAAAGGGAATATTAGGGGGGAATCGCTTACCAAGCACACCAACACGAGGATAGAGGCCTATCTCAAGTTTTGTCATTCAAAATTTTACTTTTTCGACTGTTCATCTCAACGAACATCAAAGCAAAAATGAGTTCCGCAGGGGAATTTCCATAAAGTAACATTTGAAATGAAATAATTATTTTAAAAATTATGATAATTAAATATTATAATTAAATTATTATGTTAAGTAAGTTTTTGATGATTTTATGTGATTGTGATATTAGATTATTAAAAATTATTAAATTATTATTTTGAAAAATGATGCAATTTTCATACAAAAAATGAAAAATTTTTATAATTAAAATGAAATAATATGTAAATTAATAATAATTAATTTTACACACTTAATATATGAATTAAAATTTTATTTTTTCTTACAATTATAATTATTTTGTATTGTAAATTTTTATATTTTCTAACTAATATTCATTGTAATAAATTCAAAAATAATTTATGTATTTTTTAATATTTTATGTATAATATAATTTTTTGCTTTTTTTATAATTAATTTAATAGATCGATTTTATTTTTTAATTCAAATAATTTTATATAATTTATGTTATAAAAATCAATTTACCTATCAATAACTATATTTATTAGTTTATTAATTTAATAATTTAATTATAAAATAAATAAATATTACTAATATTTTATAAATTATTATCTTTAAATAATTCTAAAATAATTAATTTGTGTAACTATTACAATATAAATGAATATTTTCATACTTTTAAACAAAAATAATATTTGAATTTTAGTAATACTAAATACAATAATATTTAATTTTTAAGAATTAATGATTGTTAACTAAATAAAATAATTTTAAATTATGAAAGTTAAGATTATTTTGATAATAAGATCACCTAGTTGATTATATTATCATAGTGAGACTAAACAATATCTAAATGCATATCCAACAAAATGCATCTCAATTAATGTTGAGGGAATATTACCTTTATTCAAGAGAATGGAATTTACATAAACATATGGGCATAAATGCCAACATACATATTCATGTTGAGTTTGAATATTCTAATAACTAATTCGAATCATTTGTAAATTTAATGAAATTTTTATATTTTAATATATATTTTATTATTATAATTAAAAAATATTATTTTATTTATATATATATCAATTCGAATTTGATCATAAATAATGATGTTTGAAGTCAAAATTATTTTTTATTTAATAAATAAATTTAATTAAATTAATTTAAATAATTTAATTATTATCTCAAAATAAATTTGAGGTTCGAAATTAAAATCTAATTAATTTTAAATTTAATTTTAAATAATAAATTTTGGATCGTATCTAAATTCCAGTTAAATTTTATTATAGTGATTTGATTCAATTTTATTACATCTCTAGCCGAGGTATAATAAGTCTTTGCAGTCTAATCAGAATAAATTTTTTTGTCAAAATAATCTTTAATTTTCATGTCAAATTACCGAAATAGTAATGCTTTTTGATTCCATAGTCTTCGGGATTTCTCATGACTGTCTATGAAATCCACTTGTACGATCTTATTCAAAATCAACAATTTTGCCATGCAAGCTATCAAATATTTATTATATTTTAACTCTACCATGCGCCAATAGGATTGACAGTCTGACCTGATATCAAGACTTCTCAAGCAGCCACAACCACAGGCCTTTTGCTAAAGAAATTAGAGGTTTTAGGAATGCGAAACATCATGAATGCAAAACATCAGTCTCAACTCGTCTCTGATCACCAACTTAGAACCATACAAATAGAAATCTTTTACCAAAACCAAAGCTTTACGTGGTAATAAAACTCAAGTCTTTGAACCAACACCTATTCGTTGGTAGGACGTGAGTTGGCAGAATATATTATATTTTTAATTTTAATAATTAAATTCAAATTATTTGTACGAAATTCAATTGTAAATTCTAATTATGACATGAAAATGACCCTAAGTCACAAATCCTCACGTGTTCAAATAGAAAAAAAAAGCCTTTAATTCACTCTAATCATAATCTTTACACATCACCAAATCCTATCATTATCAATATGGTTTTATGCTTAATCCAACACGGTTAAATTATTAAAGTGGAAAGCTCATCATGTAGGCCTAACTTACCATTATTTTAAATGGGCCTAAATTAATAAATTAAACAAATAATTAATCAAACAAAATTATGTTACATTTAATTTCGATTGCATGTTTTAAAAATGCCCCTCTTGTTTCATTTTGTTTAAAATAATCAATAAAAAAATCTTTGGCATTAACATCTATTAATATATAATACTAAAAGCTTTGTTCTCATGCAATTATACATACCAAAAGCCATTGTAAAATCATAGTCATTTGTTTGCCTAGAAGTAATGACATATGTACAATATGCAAAATAAACTTGATCATGATGGCTCACCCTCCCTTCGAATTTAAATTTGTTGAATGTGAATGTGAAAGGGGGCACGTTCAGGATGAGACATAGGATCCGCTTTCACTTTCCTTTTGTTTTGCAATGGTTTTAAGAAACGTGGGGAAAATTGTGATGCTACGTATTTTAATTCAAATAATGAAGATTCCTTGAAAAACAACTTAATGCAAAGCCTGCAGGCTGGAACTAGTTGAAAATTTAGACAAAATTTTTTTAATTTTTTTTAAAAATTAATCTAATACATCATTGACCGAAATTAGAGAATTAATATGTATTCTTTAAGCATTTAGTGTAATCTGTATCATTCAAACTTGATCTTTCAATAATAATAATAATACATATCTCCATTTTACAGTAAAAAGTAAAACCCATATTCCATACACTAATGATATTTATTTTATCTAAAACGTAAATATTATAATGTAAACGAATTGAATATAAATGAATGAATATATTTTTTAATATGTTTATTTATTTTTTAGATTGATTCGTATTCAATTTATATTTGATAAGAAAATAATTTGTTATATTTGAGTTTAATTTATTTAGAAGATAAACTATTCACGTTTAATTTATATTTGATTAATTTAAATGAAACAAACTTATTTGTAAATATTAAACAAATATTTACATAAACATATATAAATAAATATGTTCTTGAATAATAAATAAATTTAAATAAATAAACATATAACTATAGAATTAAGAATAATGAACATAATCAAACCATAAATAAACAAGTTTTAAATAAATCTTAAAATTTTTTGCTCGCGAATATAAATGAATCAAATAAATTTTTATTTATATTTGATTTGTTTAATGAATGAATGTAAAAATATTATTTTTGACAAATAAAGTTTTTAACTCTACAAATAAAATTAAAAAAATGATACATATACTAATTAATTTTTTTCTTATTTTTAAAATATATTAAAAAATAAGTATCACAATTTTAACTTAATTTATGAAATTAAAATTTTTTTACTATTTATATATATTTAATGATTTCTCATAAAATGAGATACTCCTCAAATAAACATAAATTATACTTTATGAAAACAATAAAAAATTAAGCAAATGTCCAAGTTCATCCTACCAAACACAGCAACTCAACTCACATTAAAAATAAAATCCATGGATTTCTTTCCTCCTCACTTCCCATTATCATAACCGCTTTTATCAGCCGAATCAAAAACAGCGTTTTTATATTACCAAACTACCCTTCTACGGTCCTTTCTCTATCCAGTCTGGTTGCTCCATTAATAATATTTAATTCAACATGGAGTCTCCCAAAACACCAAGAAGAAGAAGAACCAAACATTTTGGTTCTCTCATTCTCTCTTCAAAATGGCTTCCACCATTTTCATCCAAACTTCCTTTCCATCCAAGTCCTTGAACAAATCCTTGAATACCCATTTTATCCCTTCATTCAAACTCCCCGTTTCCCTCTCTTTCAAACCCCCAACCACCCTCCTCAACCGCTGCTTCTCAGTCCGAGCTGGGTTAATCGAGCCTGACGGTGGGAAACTTGTGGACCTCCTCGTGCCGGAGCCAGAGCGGGAGTTGAAGAAACGGGAAACGGCTTTGTTGCCCAGGGTGAAGCTGACTAGGATCGACGTGCAATGGGTGCACGTTTTGTGTGAAGGCTGGGCTAGCCCGCTCACCGGGTTCATGAGAGAATCCGAGTTCCTCCAAACTCTTCATTTCAACTCGCTCCGAATCGACGATGTTTCCTTCGTCAATATGTCGGTGCCGATTGTCTTGGCTATCGATGATTCTCAAAAGGAGAGGATCGGTGAGTCCAACAGAGTCGCTCTCGTTGACTCGGATGATAACCCCGTCGCAATTCTCACGGAGTAAGTTGATAAACTCATAATAATATAGTAATTATGTAATGGTAACTATGCTTTATTCATTTCCTTCAAATTTTTGGTGTAGTTTCGCATTTTGCTTTGCTGTTTAAGTGAACACATATTTTTGTTGGAGTAATTCTTTAACATTTTAATAAAACAAGATTGATTTTTTTAATGTTGAAGCTTAAAGTTATTACAATTCAATTTTATGCTTGAAGGTTGTTTTTTGGTTAAATTGTATTGCTTTCTTGAGAAGCATGAAGGTTAACATTGATTAGACGTGAGGTAGGGTAACAAAAGAGAAAGAAACGCAACGCAACGAAACGAAACGAAACGAAATGATTCAATCCTCATTTAAGGTCGTTTGAGGTTCCTGTTCTATTGCAGTTTTTTTTTTTTTTTTTCATTTTTTTTGTTGTGCTTTTACTGAATGCCCAATATGAATTTTTCTTAAATCTGATATATAAACAATTGATAGATCACTTTCATATGCTTTCATGTGACACATACTTGTCTATGACATTCACCATCAAGTCAGAGCAGCATAGGATATCAGACTGAGTTGTCGTATTAAAATGAATAAACTTAGACGGCGTTTGGTTCGGAGAATATGAGATTTTCCTTTGGAACGTTATTGATGGATATTCAAATTCTCATGTTTGGTTGAGGATGTCAGATTCATGTGTTAATCCTAGATTCTTAACAGTATCCAAAGTCCTGAAATCACAAATCCACCTCTCCCTCTAGTTTTTAAAGATTCCAGGAGGAAATTGACTTTTGTCCCACATTTGATTTTAATAAAAAATATCCTCTTTCTATTTTGCTCTCATGGAAATCAACATATAAAAATTATGTAATTATAGATTGTTTTTGTTTTAAATTTTTTTTTATTGAGTACTCTTTTTTTTTTTTTAATGTTTTCCCACTCAAATACTGCATTTATAGGTTTTGAAATGTAATAATTGTGATTATTTATTGTGTTTCTTTGAACAAAAACATAGTATTTAACTTGATGGCTTTTGATTTAACAAGTATTAATTATGGATATGGCAATTACTAATAGAAACACAATATTTGATATTTATTTATTTATTTATTTTTTGCGTTTGACTTGATGTCTTTTGATTTAATGAGCATTTATTATGGGTATGACAATTATCGTGTTTCTTTGAACAGAAAAACAATATTTGGCATTTAATTTTTTTTCATTTGTTTGATTTGATGGCTTTTGATTTAATGAGCAGTTATTGTGCGTTTGTCAATTATTGCATTTTTTTTACACTAAATGCAGTAATTGTTCATTGTATTTATTCAATTATTACATTTCCTGTGTTTTTTGAATAAAATTAATGCAGTAATTGATTATTAATTATTTTTTTTATAATTGGCCGCTCAAATACTATGTTTCCTGTGTTTTTTAGGATGAAATTAATGCAATAATTAACGTATTATTGTATTTATTATGTAGTCAAAAATATTATAGTAAAAATATATAATTAAATAATCTTATATTCTCCCAACCAAACACAAGAATCTAAAAATAAGATATCATGGAAACTCACACTTCCCTCGGAATCACATTTTCCCAGGGATCACACTTTCCTCCGGAATTTAAAATTCCGCGAACTAAACCCCCCCTTAAGGTTTTTTGTTGACAATAACAGATATTAAAATTCTTGGGAAACAACTGTTTGTTTAACATATTCTTTCTTGGACTCAAACAAGTTGCTTGAGATTCCACTTATTCATCGTGGAAATCTTTTGTAGTTCATGAATCATAGGTCTCTTTTTGTTCAATTCAATGACTATATTGTCTTGTTCTTTGCTTTATTACTGGATTGTTTCAGCATTGAGATTTACAAGCACCCTAAGGAAGAAAGGATTGCAAGGACTTGGGGAACTACTGCCCCTGGCCTACCATTTGTTGAAGAAACAATAACAAATGCTGGAAATTGGCTAATTGGAGGTGACTTGGAAGTTATAGAGCCAATCAAGTACCATGATGGCCTTGATCGTTTTCGGCTGTCACCAGTGGAACTACGTCAAGAGTTTGAAAGGCGCAATGCTGATGCTGTGTTTGCTTTCCAGCTCAGGAATCCTGTTCACAATGGCCATGCTTTGCTAATGACTGATACTCGTCGTCGGCTTCTTGACATGGGCTACAAGAACCCCATACTTTTGCTTCATCCTTTGGGAGGCTACACAAAGGCAGATGATGTTCCTCTTAGTTGGCGAATGAAACAACATGAGAAGGTTCTTGGACAACCTTTTCAATTTTTTGACATGTGATTCCATGTAGGGTTGCATTGTTTGCTACACCATCTGGAGGGGGGCTGACCTCCTGAAAGCCCAGCAACCTGAATTTTAATGGTTCTGCAGTTTCTATATCAAACTTTTTTTTTTCATTTTAGCCTTGCATATGTTGCAGATAATAGTAGGAATCTCATTTGCCTTAGTTCGCCATTAAATCTTGTAAATTCTCAAACTGTCTCTTAGGATCCTTTCATATGTTCTTGGACCCTCTCTCTGGTGAAGGGAAAACTGATTGAAACCTAGGTTCTGCATGCCGGAGTTTGTTACTTTGCTTATTTGAGGTCCATAGATAAATCTCTTGAAAACGGTTGCTGATAGGAGAATGGTTATATATTGTGTAAATTTGCATGCAAATTCCTGACAGTTTAATGATGAATATGTTTCATCAGGTCCTTGAGGATGGTGTTCTTGATCCTGAAACAACTGTGGTGTCTATATTCCCATCTCCTATGCACTACGCTGGCCCAACTGAAGTGCAGTGGCATGCTAAGGCTCGGATTAATGCTGGGGCCAATTTTTACATTGTTGGTAGAGACCCAGCTGGCATGGGCCATCCAGTTGAGAAGAGAGATCTGTATGATGCTGATCATGGGAGAAAGGTGTTGAGCATGGCTCCGGGACTTGAGCGCCTGAACATCCTTCCTTTCAGGGTATAACAGCCATTCTATCTCATTGCTATTTTCGGGTTCAATGGTACTACTTGTGGTATAAAATTTGGAATCCCTATTCCATATTAATGGGTTTTAATTGCAGGTTGCTGCATATGATAAGACCCAAGGTAAAATGGCTTTCTTTGATCCCTCAAGGGCTCAAGACTTCCTCTTCATGTCAGGCACCAAGGTATCTTCTTTTTCCTATTATCACTGTTGACTAGATTTTAACATCCAGTAATAAATAGTTAGAAAAAGAACCGTAATCAGGAGTGAGAAAGAAACATTTTGATTTCTATGTTAGTTGTTATTTTCAAACAAGTTTATCTCAAAAATGCTTGCTCCCATTCTACAGATGCGGACACTTGCAAAGAACAAAGAGAACCCTCCTGATGGATTTATGTGCCCTGGTGGCTGGAAAGTGCTGGTCGAATACTACGACAGCTTGACACCATCAGACAATGGCAAAATTCCTGACGCTGTTCCTGCGTAGATGAATTTCCTGTATCATAATGTATTTGCCATCTGATTGGGAGGAACCATAACGCTATTTATCTCCAATGTGTGATCTAGATATTGTAAAGCTTCTCTGTTCAGATCTTTTAATAAAACCGTGCGAGGCACTGGTACAGAGACATGAAACTTGCCTCCACGTTAGTAGGATGCCCAGTATGGCATCCAGCATTGGTGCCATTGGCCCTGAGCCTGAAGGCACATTGTACTATATCGTATGGTTGTGCTCTTATGAGGAAAATGGATTGTGGGAAAAGTTTGTAGGATTCCTGTACTTTCTTTGAAACCGTAGACCAGCCAAACACATCAAGAATATCTTAGAAAAGTGAAGAAATGGAGTAATGGCATCACGTGGGAGTTTGGCTATTTGCAAATTCCATTTTCATTCTTTTTAATTGGTTAACAATGAGTAAGGTTGATTATTGTCATTAATCCAAAAAGGACCAAAGGTAGAAACCAGTCAACCAGTCTAGCTGCAAAATTCATCAGACCGTTCCCATTGGTTTTAACCATGAAAATTCATATGAATTCCTAAACAACGTACTTTACTTCTACCATCGTCGCTCTTTGACACTTGAGTTTTGAATCTAGGCTTGTTTCGCTAAGCAGATTTACAAAAGAAGGGAGGTGGGTGGATTTCATGATCTGCTGCAAAACAGAAACAAGATATTTACGGGGGAAGAATTACCAAAAAGAAAAATGTCCTGTGCAATGTGCCAACTGTGACAGATCAATATTGACTTGATCTCGAGCAATATGCTTAAACTACGAAGCTTCCATCTAATTGTTTTCTGCAAAGCAATTCAATGTTGCTGAAACTGAGGTAGGCGGCTGTCCATGCATCTGTTGTTCCTCTCGCTTTAAGTGTGAAAAATCGTTGCATTCCGAGCTGTACGAAATGGTTGCTTCTTGGTCCAATTAAGTTCAAAATGCCAATCTCCCGCCTGTCTATGTATGCCAGAATGATGAAGAACTTTCTTACAAAGCTCTTTAGACAATTGTACCCTAAAGACAGAAGACACCTTTTGTGAAATGAAACAAAATGAGAAATGAAAATAATGTTTTCAGTAGGAAACAAAAGACAGCTTTAAGGGGCTTTGTCATAGAAAATTGAAACAAGAATTTCTTGTCTTGTAGTGATGCAATGCATCCACGTTGACCAATAATATAAAGCACAGGAAATTGTCCAAGGAAGTCAACGAAGGAAAAGACTAGGTCAAATTTGTAAAATTTTTTATTAAAAAATAAAAATAAAAATAAAAATATAGTTATATATAAAATTTGAAAAAATTTTAATATATTTATTAAATATATATTTTAAATAAAAAATTTAATAAAATTTTTATTATTAAATAAGTATTAATCAAATTTAAATTATAAATAATATTTTTTGTAATTTTTTTTATATATTATTAATTTTTACATTAAACTTTGTTAGTTTATTTGAATGAATTTTTATTAAAGTTTTTATTTTTTTAATTTTCAGTAAAAGTTTTTTTACCAATTTCACTTAAAGATTTATCCGTAAGCTAAAAGCGGAAACAAAGAGCGTGAAACCGAGTTAAATGGGAACACAAGGAGCCCAGGTCACACTTTTGTTGTCCAAGTTTCAAATTCAACAATTATTAAGACGCGAAAACAAAATTGAAACTGTCCTCAATTTAAAGAATGATAGTATTTCTTTATTGATGTAAAAAAATTCTCACTAATGCGTACAAATGAGCAAACTAGAAAGATTTCTTTAATTACAGCAGAATGTGAATGAATAATAAAATAACAACAGTGAGGGGCAAATCTGAATTATGATGTCCTACTTCCTCCATTTCAGATAGCTGAAAATGGGTTTCTGTGGAACAGGTATGAACTTGACAGCCCAGCCAATGGGCCAAGACATAGCTGCAATTGCGATGCAGGCACCCCATTGGCCCCAATTCAACCTCTCTGTATCAGCAAACCGTTTCAGAAATTCTACCATAACTACTTGAAGAAGAATGGTTGTGGCAATGATTCCCATAAAAAACTTGTTCTTGTGTATCCCCTCAAATACGTTCTTCTTTTCTAGCTTCCTTGCGTTAAATTCGTTGAAGACTTGGCACAGAACAAAAGTATTGAAGATCAAGGTATCGTTGACCTTCTCTGTTACGCCAAAGATTGATTCACCGCTGAATTGCAGGGTAAGAAGCACTGCTATCTGGTATAAAGCTTGAGCTAGTAGGTTCCTCCACATGATGTTTGTGATCAGTGGCTCTGTTCGACCCACGGGTGGTTTCTCCATCAACTCCCTCGTAGGTCGCTCAGTAGCAAGAGCCAGAGCACCCAATGTGTCCATGATCAAGTTCACCCACAATAACTGGACTGCTGTTAGAGGGACTTCACCTGCTGAAACTGCTGCTACGAAGTTAATACAAAGTGCAGCAACATTAACAGTAAGCTGGAATTGAATGAACTTCTGGATATTCGTGTAGACACATCTTCCCCACCTCAAGACTGTGGCCACAGAAGCGAAATTGTCATCCAAGATGACAATATCTGAACTCTCTTTCGCCACTTCGGTTCCCTGAATTCCCATGGATAGTCCGATATCTGCTTCCTTGAGTGCTGGTGCGTCATTTGTGCCATCACCAGTGACTGCAACTACATGCCCTTTCTGTTTCAAGCACTGTACCATGAGAAGTTTATCGAAAGGAGAGGACCTTGCCATAACTCGGATTTTTTCTACTTTCTCCATCCTCTCCTGTGGTGTATAATTCCTGAATTCCTCACCTTCTACCACCACATCACTGGAAAATTCCTCACCACGCCTGAGAATCCCACATTCAGTAGCTATGGCTCTTGCAGTGAAAACATTGTCCCCAGTGATCATTTTGATGTTTACTCCAGCATATTGGCAATCTTCTACAGCCTTCTTCACTCCAGGTCTGCATGGATCCTTTATACCCACCAGTCCTAACAGGGCCAAGCTGTCTTCTTTAAGCTTTTTCTGCTCTTTTAGATTTTCGCACTCTTCTTTTGGAACTTGTTTATGGGCAAAAGCAATGCACCTGAGGCTGCTCGCAGCCATGCCTTGAATAATTTGCTCAAATTTCATCCTTTCCTTATTGTTGAGATCTTTCACCATTCCAGAAGCATCATAGTAGCTTGAGCACATTGCTAGAATCATCTCAGCGGCTCCTTTCCAGTGAACATGGCCAGTGCCATCATCTTTCTTCCCAATCAAAACCCCACTTCTTTTTTTCTGAGAATTGAAGGCTTCAACTTGGCGATTTTCACAACTCTTCTTCATCTTCTCCATATCCAACTTCAGTTCCAGGACAGCCCATGAAAGGATTGCCTTTTCTGTAGGACTGCCTGAGAATTCAAATTCTGTTCCTGAAGAAGCTCTGTAAACACTACCAGTGGTATTTAAAGCAACTCCCTGATGGATCAAGTCAACAACAAATGGAGAAATTGAAGAAGCACCCTCTTCCATAGATTCTTGGCCAAGCCAAAATTTTGTCACCTTCATTCGGTTGAGTGTGAGAGTACCTGTTTTGTCAGTACAAATTGTGGTGGCTGAGCCCATTGTCTCACAGGCAGAGAGCTTTCTCACCATTGCTTGATCTGCCATCATTCTCTTCATCGAATAAGCCAGTGTCAGTGTGACAGCTAATGGCAATCCTTCTGGAATTGCAACTACAACGATGGTAACAGCAGCAGCTACGATTCCCACAACAGCATTTATTACATCATCAGCCTTTGTCTTGCCTTTATTGAACTCCCGGTTTCCTTTCTCATCTGTTGTATTGCCTGTGAAGTAGCGAACCAACAAAACGACAAGAACCAGGAAAGCAACTGCTAAGCCGACCTTACCAATTGATGAGGTCAGCTTGTTTAAACGCGCTTGTAAGGGTGTCTGTTCATTAGTGTCACGGCTGATCTGGCTCATCATTTGACCCCATGTTGTATTCATGCCAACAGACGTGACAAGCATCCTAGCGTACCCATCAGCCACCTTGGTCCCTGAAAACAAGAAAGGATTTTGGCAGCGATTTACCTCAACATGGTCACTTTCCCCGGTCATGCTTGATTCATCTACATGCAAAGAATGTCCATCTAAGAACAATCCATCAGCAGGAACTTGGTCTCCAATTTTTAGGCACACAATGTCTCCAACAACGATATCAAATATTGAAATTTGTTGGCGCCGACCTCCTCGTACAACATCAATCTGAATATTGTTGCTGACTTTTGATAACTTGTCAAATTGTCTGTTCTGCCTGATAGTTACCTATGGCAGAAAACAGCACATGACCAGAACACAGCTACGAATATGGCTTCCACCGCTCGTACCACCCTTCTTTAAGGCCCGTGTTCTTGTGATTCCAAAGCCAAGTGAAACGAGGCTGCCACAGCCCTAAAAGAAATCATTATAGTAAGGTCCTTAAATGCTTCAATCACAAAATGTAAAAATGAGTCTCGTTGCGGCTTTCTTATACGTGTTGGAACCGAAATGCCTCAAGTCGGCTGCAATGTCTTCGTGTTGCCAGAAATGCAACCTCGGTGTCGGTGCCACAGGGCAGAAGCCCACACATCAACCCATCATGTTTCTCAGCTTCTCGATTTTTTCTCTCTTTCACTACGATCCAATGAGAGTTGTTTGATCATTTGGAAAAGGACTGTTTTCCGGTATAACACAGTGGAGTAAAAACACGAGATGGATGAGCGAGAATAGCTTGTTTTTTCTTTGGGTGTTGGAGACTTTGATAACAAAGCGGATAAAATGTTCTAGAACAATAGATGGTAGTGAATATGGTGTGCCACTTCTTTTTGGGCTTGCATAGGTTAGCTGGAACTTCGAGTATACATTCTATGCAAAGCATGCTTGCATGAACAATGGTAGTCATAATTTAAAAACAAAACGAATAAAAAAAAAAAGAGAGTATATACGCAAAAACTATATGATAGATATTGGCTAAAGGAAAGAAATCTTACGCTGTATTTTTTTTATTATCAGATTACGATGTTTTGTGCAAGAAAAGAAAAAGAAATGAAAGGAAAATGTTTACTACTATTTGGTTTATAAAGATTATGGCAAACAATCAACTTTCATGAAGCAGAAAACTTAGCTGATAGTTTGATTTTGCTTGATGATGACCAATATATGGAAGAAGAGAGACATGCAGGTATATTTATATGCTACTTCTGAGACATCCACCACCTTTAAGCTTTTTATAAGGATTTGCTTCGATTGGAAGAAAGTTGTGATAGGGAGTCACTTTGACAATTGGATTTTTGCTGCTGTTTTCGTTTTCTGATTTCCTTAGACTCGAACGAGAGAAGTCAAATGAAAACACTACCCCTTTCGTCGAAGTTGCTTTAGAAAATATTATTTCTTTTCCTTGTTCGCAATCAGTTAATGCCAAAGCAAAACGCGGCCAAGAGGACAATCGTCAAATATCTCAGGCTATTCCTCGTTCATAAGCAATAAAAAGTCTTATCTTGTTATTAAGGATTTCCACCGCAACACGATATTAACTCTGCAAAATTTTTCATTTCCATTTTCAAAATTTTATATTATATTTATTTTCATATTCATATTTAATAAATATTTTAAATTTAAATTTATTTTTATTTTTATAGATATTTAATAAATATAGAGAATCCCGTACTCATAAATTTTTAAAAAATAAAAATAAATTTTTTTAAAATTTTATCTTATATATTTAAATAATTTTTTATAAATATATATTAATATATATTTCTTTAATAAAATATATTAATTTTAATTAATTTAAAATAATAATTTATATTATTTAATAAAAAATTTATTTATTAGATATATATAAATATATATAAAATACAATTATAACACGGATGTTATATTACTATTATCTATTTATTTAATAAAAATTTAAAATAATACTTATTTTCATACTTATAATATAATACCCATTCATATACTCATTCAAATAAAAAATTGATTTTCCATAAACATGTTATCCCTTTTTAAAAGATAAAAAGAATTCTCTTTCCAATTTGCAATTACCCTAAATATCTCTTTTTTTTTTTTAAAAAAAAGGAAAATTAGACCGTACGGAAACAGTGTGCTGCTAACATTCAAGGAT